CTTAGCGGAGATTTCTGCATGTCTAACGTTTATCAATCTCCACCAGGAAAACAACAATCCTCTATGTATTAATTGTACCTGACTTATGTTCTGTGTGTAGTGTCAAGATTTAATTAATGTTTTTAAATGCCTATGTTGTTTAATATTTCTCAAAGTTATTTAAAACATTTTTCATCTTGCGTTTTTTGTTGTTGTTCTTTAAGCTTGTTGTTTTTTTTTTTCCGGCGGAGCGAACTGCCTCATGAGTATTAAAAGCTGAAGTTTTTCAGCCGTTGATCCTTCGAGAATAAAGAAATATATCTTTGAAGTGTCACTTACCCACTTACTCATATAGGCTTCAGTAGCGTTGAGAGAGTTTTGTTGTCAAAGAACAGCATTACAATAATTAATGAGTATTCTTATCACACATTGAAGTACTGGAAGTTCGTCGTCAAATTAAGCAAAGTAGTCAATGGTGCGACCCAAGTAATTGTATGCAGTTGATCATTTAAGGCACTTAAAACACTGTATGTATTATCGTTTCGCTGATAAGAAAGAGGGGTTATCGCTAGTACTATACCTATATCAGTGGTGTTTTTCTAGCTATTTGATCGTAACGAAGGCTTTTATATCGTGTGATACTATAAGTTAAACACTACTATGATTAAAAAAAATGGTTAGTTATCGCACTTCGTTAAGAAATATGCCTCAAGTAAAATTTTTGAGACCTTGAAATCTATATAAAAACTTAAAGATTTTTAGTTCATAGAGATCAAACATACTGTTGGTGCTTTGTATTCGCTATTATTTTATAGAGATGTTTAGTAATAAGATTGTGATCAATATAAATCATTATGATACTTTAATTGTTAATATTTGGTTTAAAAATGATAGTCAGTCTTTGGTTTATAAAAGTTAGGAATGATTGTTTGTTTGTTTGTTTTTTTTGTCAATTAAGGTCATGCTGTATTCAGTGAATGTCTTGCTGCTATATTTTCCTTTAGTGGCGGTGTGGTGAATAGGATGCTCAACTCGCAATCTGCTGGTCTTGGGATTGAAACCTGGCACTGAACATGCGCTCCCTTTCACTTGTAGGGGTGTTATAATGTGGTGGCCAGCTTACTATTCATTGGTAAAGAGTAGCCCAAGAATTTCCATGGGTGCTGCTGGTTGGCAGCTTATAATTAGTGACAGCAGCATATAGTCTTGGTGCCTTTATCATAAGTAAACAACAAAACATACCTTAGAATAGAAAGCTCTCTGAATCCTACAATAATATGTAATTTATTTTATCAATGCATTATTGGACAAGGGATTGTTAGTGGTTATCCTGCAAGTCTGCAGATTCGAAGGTCCAAGGTTTGTCTCCTCATGAATATACTCCACATTTTCTGCTGTTTGCATGTTGTAAGAGTGGCAGTAAATTTCATTATTCAGTTTAAAGCCCTACATTCAACCAAGTTTCAGCTATACCCACTGCATCAAAATCCTCCATTCTAACTTGTGCTCTAAAGTAATTTAATTTGTTTCTTGTACTTCTAGCATTGCAATAGTAACAACCTATCCTTATATCTACTAAATTCCTGCCTTCAGTTTATCCTGGTTCTCACCACTGTTTAGTCCTAGTTTAAAGCTTCCATTACAGTTGATGGCCCTTGTAAACAATCCAGACACTACCCTATTAAAATGTTAACCATCATTCCAAAAAAAGCTCTTCTTACCACTGAACTGATCACATATGTCCAACCAGCCAACTTGCTTGTCCTTCCATAGTAACCTAAGCCTAGCACTCAACCCTAGTGACCTTCTTATAATACCATCCCCACAATTAACTCTGGGCTGTATCCCTGAGACAATTATGGCCCTTTTCTTTAAGTGCCTTTATTAATCCCCCTTTACTTATTACTTAACTCCTCTGATCTACCCTTCTCTATATCATTAGCTTCTATGTGCACAACAGGCTCCATCACTGCCAGCACCATTTACTTTATCATTTACTATAGCACTATAGTTTTACATTAGGCCACCAAGACAATATTTTAAGTTTTCTGGAGACTATGTAAATGAGTTAGATATAATAGAAGAGGTTAAACAATTTAGTAATGCTTTATAAAATTGATCACTGTGAACAAGATGACTTCAAAGATCAATAAAAAGCAATTAAATGAATTAAAAAAGCAGCCAAATGTGCACAAGCAGTAGGTGAAAAAAATCATACTTTCTAGCACACACAGTAAGATCATACTTTCACCAGGAGTAAAAGATGGTGCAAAGACCACTTCATTGAAGTATTTAAAGTTTCATTTATTTTTTTCTAGTGAAATAAAATGCTTATCAGAAAATAACTTTTTGAGACAGTAAAACATCAACTGAGGTTAAAATGCATAATTAATATCTTGAAACAATGTTTCTATAATAGGTAAATACCACATATGGTTTTTGCAAGTTTTCAAGTATTTTAATACGAGTTGTTTTGTGTACTAGAAGAATTGTACTTTAGTATTGTTGCGTCAGTGAGGTCATGTGACTAGTATCACACCACTCCTTCTCGAACCTTCATGAATT